TGGGTTCTCTCCGGGTTCTCCGGCTTCCTCCCACACAGTCCAAAAACATGTTGAGGTTAATTGGTGATTGTAAATTGTCCATAGGTGTGACTGTGAGTGTGCTTGGTTGTCTGTCTCTAAGTGTGGCCCTGCGATGGACTGACGACCTGTACAGGGTGTCGGCTGGGATAGACTCCAGCCCCCCCGTGACCCTAATGAGGATTAAGTGGTGTATAGAAAATGGATGGATGGATGGATGGATTTGCCTTTAAGCATTTCAAAAACACCATATGGACGTGATAACAAAATAGATTTTCACTCTTAAGGGGTTTTAATATGGTGAGATACTCAAATGTAACTCTAACGTATTGGAGCAGATGCTGGTAAAACGGCTGCACATGTTTCACAGAGGAGGGTTTTCTGCTCTCTGCTCTTCTGGTGTGATAAAAAATGTGAACTAAACGTCTAAAACTGAGTCAAACTCTCCAACATTAGGTGGCGTCCGAGACACGAGCCGTCATCAGCTGGATGCAGAACATCCCATTTGTCCTCAGCGCTAACCTCCACGGCGGAGAGGTGGTGGTCACCTACCCGTACGACATGACCCGGGACTGGGCCCCTCGCGAGCACACCCCCACTGCTGACGAGAGCTTCTTCCGCTGGTTGGCCACAGCGTACGCCAGCACCAATCAGGTCACTCCTCCTCCTCTGCACTCAGAAATCCAAAGATCAGAATGGAAAGTGAGTATTTTACCATGTTATTGTAATCTCATGTCACCAGGTGATGTCCAACCCGGACCGGCGGCCGTGCCACAACAAGGACTTCCTCAGATATAACAACATCATCAACGGAGCCGACTGGCACAACGTACCAGGAAGTAAGAATGTGTGTGATCTCAACCGGAGGGCCGTAAAGGTTTTGAATTAACACAATCACATTTATATCGTAGTTCATGCTCACTGCCCACCCAGTGTTTGGTGTCGTAGCTTTAGCGTTGTGGATTATTTATTTATTTTTTAAAATTAAGATTCTATCTCCCAGTTGACCTCTAATAAGGTGACATCGTGACCCATTAGAGTTTAGTTGTTGCTGATCAGTTTATTCACTTTCAGGATTTTAAATAATGTATTTTGTAGCTAAACATTTCCAGAAAAACATTGATTCTACATGTACGTCTGTCATATATGTAGAATGCAACTACACTGTAGTATTTTTTTTTTTTTTTAACCTCATCTTAAGGAATGATTGTGACAATACGATTTATTCTTGATAGATAAAGTGTATATCCTCTCAAAACTTTATTGATATCACAATACACATTCAATACAAATCACAGTAAAAATTAAACCACAATTTTGCAAACTGTGTATTCAGGCTTAAACAAAATTGGGGATATTGAACAATCGGATTAGGGGATTTATTTTAATTTTTCAAACAGGAAACACATATTCGAGGGGATTCCATGCATTAGAATGTCCAGTATTACTCACCCCTGACACGGATCAATGCGTTAGGACATGGTGGCATTCTGTCCACCAGCTTGTTGATGGTGTCAGTGGGCAGGACGTCCCACCGTTCAGTCACATCCCAAAGTCAGAAATCGTTTCACCTGGTAACTGGGACTCAGTATGTAATCTGGTCAGAAGTGATTACTGATGTGTGTGAATAGAAATAAAAAGAGGAATTTGTCTGAAAACTGGTTAAATGTCTCTCCGTTTTGTGCCATGTGTTCCTGTTTCAAACTATAGCAGACTCTCAGGGGTAAATGAGCTGGTTGAATAGACATGATAAATGTAATTACAGGAGGTGACTGATGGCAACCAACCACATGATAGTATTGGTGTATTATTAATGGATAACTTATCATAATGGATTAAAAGTAGAAAATGAAAACTGAAACCCAAAAACCACAATCCCCAGAAAAAGTATACAGTGTTAAATAAATTAAAGGGTTTTTTTTTATTTTCTTGCAGGTATGAATGACTTCAGCTACCTGCATACCAACTGTTTCGAGGTGACGGTGGAGTTGTCCTGTGATAAATTTCCTCACGCCAGCGAGCTTCCCATCGAGTGGGAGAACAACAGAGAGTCTCTGCTGGTTTACATGGAGCAGGTTTGCCTTCATGGATATTGTTCATTTTATGTGCATATATATTTTATCCTCACATCCTCTCCTTAATGATCCTGAATGTCCCACTGCTGTCTGTGCTTTATTAGCCATCATCCTCATATTATGCTTTTAACTTTAATGTACTCTGTCAGACTCCGTGGACATAGAAGGCGGTACATCAACACAACAGTTTACCAGCGTGTTGTTTTTATGGCTACGGCGCCAATTAAACAGTCAAATCTCTCCGTCTCTTTAGGTCCACCGTGGAATTAAGGGTGTGGTTCGGGACAAAGACACAGAGGCTGGGATTGCAGATGCCATCATCAAAGTTGATGACATTGATCATCACATCAGATCAGGTACAATTTTATGTCGTGTAAGATATTAAAACAAGGTATCTGTTTAGAAAAAGGGAACCCAAGGCAAAGAAAATTGCTGTTAAACATATTCTATATTGTCCCCTTTTCTTAATCCTCATCCAAAAGAAGCACATAGTTTTATATTTTCTGTACTTCTGATCACACTTCTGTATGACGATTGGAATCTGTAAAATAGGGCCACTTTTGATTTACTTTAAAACTTAAACTAATTCAGTTGTAAGTTGACAGTGCAGTACAGATATTTTGTGGATGTAGGGGACAATAGGCTGTGAGTTAAATGACGAATTATACATGGATGTCCTGAGCTATTTGTTAACTGATCAGCATCAGCAAGAACTGAAGCCCATCCTTTGTGTCCGCTGTGACAAGTGAAGGGAGAACACAATTTGGGGCAGGATTTCAGGGATGTAAAGTCTGAATAGTTTTCTGTAGCAGTAACTAGCACTGATTATTAGAGTCAGTAATAAATTAATGACACAAAGTAGGCACAGTGGACATTTGCTCTGTGCTGATGTTGCTGTTGTTGTCAGACATAAAACAGGCCACCAAGTCAGCTACATCACAAATACCGCTGGAATATAAATGATCCTAGCTCGTCTTAAACACGAGCGCTGGTTGGAGTCTTTGTCTTGGTGCCCATTGCTCGCTAAACCACCTCAAAGCTCTCCACTCACCAACACCTAACTACCTGTAGTCCAAATGACCACTTCCTCCGTGAGATGCCAGATACTGCAGCTAATCTACAACACATCAAGCAACAGATGCTAAATATTAAATGATTCCATCCAGTTGGGGGCAAAAAAATCCTTGATAAGGACATCCCTAATTACACTGTAACACCAAACCATAATCGTACTGTATTTAGTGTATCTGTCCTCTTATCTTAAGTCTTACTTCTGCTCACTATTCATGTTTGTAATTGTCTATTATCTGTACTTCTGCAGCGGCTGATGGTGACTACTGGCGGCTGCTGAACCCCGGTGAGTACCGGGTGACAGCCACTGCAGAGGGCTACTTACCCTCCTCCCGCACCTGCCAGGTCATGTATGACCACTACCCCACCATCTGTGACTTCCGCCTTACCAAGATGCCCAAACAGAGGCTAAAGGACATTCTGGCTAAGGGGGGGAAACTTCCAAAGGACTTGCAGCTCAGGCTGCGGCAGCTACGCATGCGGAAGCTGCGTGTCACCACCAAGGCCATCAATCAGCGGCGCGCTGCTGCTGCTGCCAAACGGGCAAAGAGGGTGTGACGGTGAATAAAGATGAGAACAAAGCAGGACTTGGTTCAGACAGCCACCTTCACTGGATTCACGTCAGGTTTTCTTTTTTTTTTTTTTTAAATGCTGTAATTTATCAAAGACAACAGCTGGGCACCACGCTTCTTCTTCTTCTTTTTTTGGTAAAGCAATTTTTCTTAGTTATTTTATACCAGTACACATGCACACCTGAGAATGAACACTTTGATCTTCTGCTGTGGAGCAGCAGAGCATCTAAGGCAGGGGTGTCCAATCCTGGTCCTCGAGAGCCACAATCCTGCATGTTTTAGATGTTTCTCTCTTCCAACACACCTGATTCAAATGATCAGCTCATCATCAAGCTCTGCAGAAGCCTGATAACGATCCTGATCATTTGAATCAGAGGGAAACACCTAAAACATGCTGGATAGGGGCTCTCGAGGACCAGGATTGGGCACCTCTGATCTAAGGAGACAGTCTGTAGCTTTGTAATTGCGTTTACAAATTCTGGAAATAAACGGATGTGATGATATGAAGCTATGTTTCTGAATTCCAGAGAATGACGACATTTGGTAGAGGAGGAGACATGAATTGAATCTTTATTTATTACATAATAACAGTTGACTTTACAGCTAAAAACAAAACAACTTTACTTAAGAACAGCGAGCTTCCACTTGATGCCGTTCCTCATCTTTGGTGGCGTTGGAACCTCTGCATCTACAAGGAACACAATTAGAAATGTTGGACTAGAGAAATGATGCCACCTAACCTGCAGCCCTAGAAATAAAATCTGCATGCATAAACACAGTTCACAATTATCCCATTTCTTAAACATGCACAAATTGTAAAAAGCGATTAGAGAAATCACAAATGAAGTTGTGCAAATGGTGCTCAATGACATGACAAATGACTCGACACTACGAACTTCTACTGACCTTGTTGTGAAGCTGCAGGTCTCTGCTGCTGTTGGAAAGAAGCCATGATGCTGTTCGCTGTGGAGTTGGGCCCAGTCAGCTACAGAGCAGCAGGAAGAGGAGAGTTACATACAAAAGACTAGTAAAAATCCAAAACAGTCCACTCAAACAATGCTGCCTTTTTATTCTCTCTCACACACAATAGATGTGAGTGAATATATCAGTTCATTCTTGAGGATATCAAATGTTTTTTTCAAACATTTAGCTAAAACGCAGGGTGTTATTTCTCTTTAGTTCATTGAAAAGGTACATTCTGCGTACAAGATCATGTCTACAAGCTGAACCAGTTGTTCTGCAACTTTTTTTCTGACTTTCTTATTTATCCCCATTCGTCTAAACAGATCTGTTCCTGCTAAATAGCGATGATAATAATTGTTATTAAGTGCTGTTAATAATTTACTTGATTAAAAACATATTAACTGAGAAGGCAGAAGATAAAGAACGTGTGTGTCAGACAATGTATTGTAGCTCAGCTGTAGTACCTGGTTGTTCCACCAGCCTCTCACTGTTTAAACCTGTCGTGACCTGAGGAGGTCGTCATTCTGACTACGGTCGGTTCATGTTGGCGAGTAGA